ATTGAAGTAGTAGTAGTAGTAGTAGTAGTAGTAGTAGTAGTAGTAGTAGTAGTAGTAGTAGTAGTAGTAGTAGTAGTAGTAGTAGTAGTAGTAGTAGTGATGTGGTAGTAGTAATAGCAGCAGCAGCATTGTGACTCAGTAAACATAATTATTGACTAATTCTTTCATACCTTCCAAAAGCTGGAGGATAGCCCCGCCAACGATGATATGCCAGAACAAAAACGAGAGGACAGAGATCACTCGTGTGAGAAAAGGCACAGAAAGAGTTCAAGGGAGTCAAGGAACAGGGACAGCAGCCATATGTCTACATCCTGTAAAGGCAAATCGGGTGATTAATAGACCATAATTTTATAACGCAAATTTCTGTTCAACAGTCAGCTCTTTTGTTTTTCCATCTATATTGTTATTCCAGCAGACCTGAAAGCATTCTGAAAGAATCTCAACTTCCTGGGCAGTATACTGTGCAAGCTGCCATTTATAGGAGCTAACACACTAACATATTGACAAGATCTATCGCTGTCATGTAAAGTGCCTTTAACAAGGATACAGCACCGGCCCGCCGCTTGACCCCCGAACCCGCAAATACACGATGATGAGTCCGCAAGCCTGACCACTTAACTACTTCTCGGTCTATACAAAAAAAATTTTTTAAACCCCTCCCCCTAAAAAAACGCTAAAAGCGAAACATAACATCCTCTAGTGCTCCGTTAAAATATCTTTTGACCGAATATTTTGTCTCAATCAAATAATATTATTAAAGTTCAGAGCTTTTCTCCATAATGTATTACCATCTGGGGCGTAATTATTGTCTTCGCTTGAATGCAAGATCCTGGGTCTGATTCATGTGTGAGGGGATAGTTTAACTGTTATCGCAGGCGTAATTTTACGAGGTGTCCCATACAGCTGTGGTTAGCCTTTGCGAAGCGAGTCGGAACACCTCGCTTCATGTGGATCTAAGCTATGTCGCAGAGCTGATGTTAGCTACAATTTGCTTTGGAATGATGAATAAGAAAGTGTCAGTCATAGTGTATACCATTCAGCGTAAAGAAATCGTGCTCTCCGATTTTCATGATTCTGATAAAGAAACTTGTCGAAAACATGCGTCAGATCTAAAGAAAACTACAACTCTGTGCATTACACACAGGGAAACGTGCAGTAGCAGCATCACTGTGATGAAGACGAAATGAATGATTTATTTTGTTTGTCTGAGTGTGTAACAAGTTCTGCATCACGTTCCCTCTCATGAATTTTAGGCAATGATACAGTAAATTAATATGGTCCGCGTAACTTTACAACACGACTTCATGACAGTTTAGGAGGCTGTCTGGGGCTCCTAGAAGCGCTAAAAATGCAGAAAACGGTTTATATCTTCTCTTTTACTTTGAATTATAGGTCTGGAGTCATTGAACATAGTTTATGACTTTGCACATGTCTTTATGTTTTAGATTAATTCTTGGAGTTGCTGTATTCTCGTTCTCTTTTGGAACAATAATAATCAGGTTGGTTTTGATGCCCTCGTGTGTGTTTCGTGTATGTAAGAGAGTACTTAATAACAATTTTGAGAATCTTTAGAAATAGACGTGATTGATAGTTTAAACCAGAGCTGATTAAAAATGGACAACTGGTAGGTCCTTGTCCACTTCTTACCGTAAATATCTGTCTGTTCTGTATTTTCCCTGCATTATATTACAGCTCTGGTGTTGATGTGCTTCACTTTACTCAAGTTGAAACAAACTTTAAACTTAATTTATTTCTCAAATTGTCTTCAGATGATCGCCGACACGATTCCCGTGGATCTTGTAGTGGTCGAGATCGGAGCAGGGCCAGGAATGATGTGTCGAGCACCAGCCAGGAGGATCTTTCCCGGCCCGTGCACACGTCCTCCGAGTACACCACGGAGCCCAGCAGGTACGTTCGGGATGAGGTGGAAGTCAGCCAGTCCTGCTCTAGGACCTCTGTGTCCTCGAGAGGCTCTAGATCTCCCAGCGTGAGGCTCACCATCAAACGACGAGGCTACAACAAGTGTGACCACGATTACGAGAGCCGTAGTGAGGACGGTCGCTGCTGTCGCACGGAACAGTGCTCGAGTCGGCGGAGAAGGGATTCGCACTCTGGAAGTGATAGCAGGAAGGCGAGCATTAAATCCAGCCCGCCTACGCGCAATCATGGTCGGGGTCACAGTGAGGAGGTCAATCGCCGCAGCAGCAGTGGTCGGCACGAGACAGACGATTGGAGTCGACATGGTGGTAGGAAAAAGTCAGGGACAAAGTGTTGGCATGAGGCGTGGCTGGACGGAGACAGCAGGGAGAGCTCCAAACAGTCGTTGCGTAAGAGGAAGCACCAGTCTAGTCGGTACGCCTCAGCCTGTGATGACGCGTGGGACGACAACAGGTGGAGGTCCAACACTTCCAGATCTAATTGCCGTGGATACCTCTGCAACGAAACTTCAGAGGAAGAAGACAGCTTGTTGGCGCTGGGTGATACGAAGTACAGAAATGATTGGGACTACATCAAAGACAGCCGGGAGTTTCTGCGGAAGCATTCTGACGGTGGAAAATATGCCAAGACAATAGAGTGCCTAAATCCCTCTGACTGTGAGAAAGCAAGAAAAGATTACAAGCGGCGGTCATTTTCGTCTTCACCCAGAAAAAAGGCTTGTTATATCTCTTCAGAAGTATGCTCATCAGAAGAGACATCTCCGCAGATCACAAAAGCCCATACGAAGCGAGAGTCAAAGACCGATTCCAGCGTCCGACAGAGTCGTGACAAGTTGTACCAGCATGACGAAAAACCCGCTGTAGAGAGAAGTCAGTCGGCCAAACATCGACAAACATCTCGTTCAAGCAATGGGGATCATAGTGTGACTCAGTGCAGACACACTACCAAGGAAGTCAAGACCTCTAATCCTACTTCAGAAAATGGTGACGAATCCCAAATTAAAAGCAAGTTGAGGTGTTCCAGAGAATCACTCCCAAGAAAAGATATGAAAGCATTTGATATGAAGAAAGAATCGGAATGTAGCCAATTTTCTTCAAGAGAAAGACAAAAGAGCAGCAGTTCTGCGTTGAGACAGAAAGAAGAACGGGAAATCGGCTCTTCCTTTCAGGACGACGAAATCCGTGCTCTAAAGAGAGAGGTTGATGAATTGTCAGAGTTGTCAGAGTCTCTTCTCTCCTTGCGTCCCACCAAAGTTTCAAGCGGCGTCACGGAAGAAGTAAAATGCAAAAGAAATGTCTCTCTCGGTAGACGCGACACGCTCAAAGGGGACGGTGACCTGGCGGATGACAAATCTAGAATATCCCTTGAGACCTCTGAAGTCAGCTGTTCTAAGACAGAGGATATGCATAGTGGCCGGGAGCGGTACACGTTTCGCCCTTGGGATTATGACAACGGGGAGGCAGCATGTGACACGAAAACTACCACTGTTGCCATTCATAAAGGATCTGTGAAAGTGTTTGCCGTGCCTGGCTGCTCTGACTCAGAACGATGCAGCGTAGACAATGAAAAATATGATGTCTCTGAGTTATCCGACAAGCACTGGTCTTTGAAGGGGAGCGAAGGAGAACAATACAGTAGGAGCACTGGAAGTAGACGGACGTCTTGTTCGGAAAATCTATGCTCAGAATACACTGTCACTGATGAAGATAGCACAATAGAACGCATTTTGAGGGCTCAAGTAAAAAGTAAAGCCCGAAATTCTGAACGTTTTCATTCTCTAAAGGCAGCTGATCGCAAAGCTGCCTTTTCTCTTGCTCCTTGTAAAAAATCTTCTCCAAGAGATGATTTGAAACCACATGAAAAGGAAGATTGTCTTGAGAAGTATGCACCTGGGTGCCGCAAGTCAAGGTCAAATTCGACGAAAAGGGACCTGGGTGCGAGAAAAGACGTTAACTCTGAGCAGGTTGACAACCTCGGTTTACTCATTACCCCTGAACAGCCAGTGCTCTTGCCTAGGGATAAGGAAATTAACTATGGCGTGGACCGTAAAGACAGCAGCTACTCTCGAAGGAACACACGTGTAGCCACTCAGAAAACTGCATCGGGGGTACCACTGGTGGCCAGCAAGCCGCCAATCTACACCATCTCTCCAAAAAAGAAAAGAGCACAAAATAAACCAGAAGACGACGTGTCAGATTATCAATCTCAGAGAACTGGGTCAGCGCATGAGGACAACCATCCGTCGCTGAACACAACAATAGGTGCTGCAGAAGAGGAGTTTAAACCCTCGAACAACTCAACTGAAATTGTAGCAGAAAGAACAATGTCTTTGGCTGCACCTCTACCAGCTTCCGATAAACAAAGTTCCCATCATGAGGACAATTTACAAATAGAGATTCCATCCCCTTTGTCTTCTTTTGATAGTTTTTCTATCAGAAGACCTTCGTTTCCGCAGCGGCCCGGCAGTAGCGACATCTTCCTGGAAGATGACTTTGAAAGCGACGAGTTCTTGCCCTGCAGCAGCAGCCTGTTCCTATCTAAGAATCAAAACTCCTCTTCCTGTGCCTCTGTGAACATGCACAACTCATTCAAGAGCGATCTATTCTATCCCCAATTTGCCTACCATTGTGGAATGGTTGACACTCTGAAAATGCTCAACGTAGATTCCTCGACGTCTGTGACCACTGTAGAGTCCTCGTGCGTGGGAAGGTCATCCAGTGCAGTCTCCCTTGATGACGTCGACTCAGCAGGCGTTGCTGGTTTCGGCATTTCCGATAGAGCCAAGTCAATCACATCCCTGACTACTCTAGGACCAGACGCTGGCGATGCATTTGAGCAAATTCGGCACAATAGTAACAGGGCTTTGATGTACGCTAACAGCATGACGAGCTGGCAAGCCTGGTCAATGCCTTTGTTCTCTAAAATGCGGCGAAGTCCACGACGAAATCACAGGAAGAAACAGCGTGAGGGGAGTACTGAAAAAAACAGAATAGTATTATCAGTTCGGTCGAAGTCCTCGGGTGCTGTCAGCCCTGCAAGATCTGTTGAAAGTACTGGAACTCTCACGCCAAGCCCTCGTCATGAGCGCATGTATTCATTCTCACTGGGAGGGGCATCTGTTCAAACGTCTAGAACTAGTCGGTTACACCATGGCCCTTCAGGATCTCCTATACAATCTGCAGTTGTGCTTGACGATATAGTAGGCGACCACTCACTGCCAAATAACTCAGTCGGTGAGACAAGAGGGAGAAACCCAGTCTCGCTGCATGAAAATAAAGAGAATGAAAAACGCTGCTTTCTCAAGAGAGATGAAACTGAAACAAATGAAGGGTTGGTTCTACCATTTACAACCCAAGAGAATGGCTCTATGTGTAAGGAAAAGTGGATGTACAATGTGCAGTCGGCAGATGTCGCTGACAGACAGACATGTGCAAAGCTGTGGAGACAAAATGTTTTAGAATACGCTGACACTGTCATTGAAGAAAATAAGTTAACATTGGCCAACTACAAGAGCCGCACTATTGAGTATAATCCATATGAAAAAAGCGCGGAACACGTATATAATAGAACTTCTCATAATTGCCTCGAGGAAATCAGTTCGAAAGAGTTGATTAGCCATCCAGTGCATGAGGAAGAAACAAATACACACAGTAATTCAGATGTTGAAATCCCTAACATTTCTTTAGACTCTGACTCATTCACCGGGAATTTCCACTCTAAACTTAAGTCCGGTCACCATGACACAAATTCGATGGCATCTGATGAAAGAGTTTCATGTGAGCAGCAAAGTTTGGACGAAGAGGGGAAACCTCTTTATCACTCAGAAGTAATCACTGCACAGAGTGATGATAGTTACAATGACTCCAGCTCTGAAAAATTCACTCGGTCGACGAGCCTAGAACAGAAGGAGCTACCCGATACTTGCCACAGTAGCAGATATGGAATTCAAAATGGAGACAGTGGTGATGAAATGACAAATTGTTCCCAGGACCTATCAGTGACCTCTGAGAAGAAAGCGTTGGGTCCTGATGCGGGACAAGAATTCGGTCTTGTGGATAACGAAGGAGACACGCTGACGGTGTTTGTCATTACTCAAGCGTCCCCTGAACGAACACTGCCAGAACCAAGATCGGACAAACAGCGAATAAAGAGCAACCCAGAGAGCCAAAAAATGACGTCTTGTCCAAAAAGCAAACATAAATCAGCAGAGGCGGCTTTTGTTTCCTTATGTGAGGGCGACGCTCCCTTGGTCTTGTTCCCGAGCTCGGACAAAACAGAAAACTCTTTCAGTCCTAATGAAGTAAGGAGCAAAGAGTCGGAGTTGGACAGATCTGAGAACTCGTGTTCTAAGAGGTTGAGCTCAAAAGAAGTTAAAAATCACCCCAGTGCATCTCTTTTGGACGGAAAATTAAAGATAGTTTATAATCTCAACAGCAACACTTGGTCGTCCTCTGAACGGAAGAGCATGACTTTCCTAGAAGACAGACAGGAATGTGCACCCTGCACGGAAATCTCAGAAGAATCAGATTCCTCTGAATTGAGATTTGGGCACGAAGTGACAACTATGGCTAAAGAAGACCAAGAAAAATGTAGTCTTATCAATGATTCTGTATCAATAGAGCTTCTCGTAGCAATCGAAAAAACACCAGGGAACTCGTCACACAGTATCGCACACAGGAGAAGCTCAAGAATTTCGGAAAAATCGCCAATTCCCCACGCCACACCTCTTTGTCCTATGCCTCGCTATGATTCGGCCCCAGGCAGAATTGAGTCGGACCCAAGACGCGAAGCACAGTTGACCTCCAAAGGTTCCTCATTTTACTCGTGGCTGAAGGAAAAAATCTCTCGAGAGCTTCACAGTTTTAAGGACAAGCCCGACAAAATGTTCTGTGAGTTACTGTCGGGACTATCTAGTAGATCAGACAGCAACGTTAGCTCCAAGGAGCTGCCAAGTCGTGCTGACCAGAACACCTCACGGTCTGAGGATGACAGCTTCGATGAGAGATACTCTGGTCGGGGTCTGACCACTTCGAAAAAGAAAGGGAGTAAATCAGCAAAACGGATGAAAGGCAAAATAAAACACCAGCGTACCCCGAGCAGGCAGCGTTGTCCAAGTCACAGGAGCACCCATCTAGTTCTCCGATCTGCCCCTTCTCAGAGGAAGTCACGTCACGAATCGTCATTTTCACTTCCTGGGTCGGGGCATGCGCATAGAGTGTCGAGCAAGAAGAAACTCAAAGACTGTAAAAGTTTGAACGTTGGGGACAGTACCAACTGCAAGACTGCCGAGTCGCCCTTGCCAGTTTCGTTCTGCTCTTCGGGTGTTGGTCTCCTGGCGAATGCGATGGTTCAGCGTGGCTCCCAGTCCTGTATCCCATTATCGCCAACGTCCAGCTCCGAGGCTTGTAACCACTCTGAGTATTGCAATGAATGTGAGCACGAGACTCTGAGAGATAGACTCACACCGATCCTCGAGGAATCTCGGTCGAGCCAGTGCACTAAAACTGAGGAGACCGTATATGACTTTAGGGCATTTGTTCAAGGCTGTTTGGATAAAGTTTCCAGTACAATTTCGCCCTTCAAAAGGCGACAATGCAGTACGAAGTCTCAAAGTATGCAATGTTCTCCACCTACTGCAACACCGTCAGAGGTGCGTGAAGACCACCAGCATCACAACGGGCTGAGTGCGGTCGAAGAAGTGCTTCCTCGGCGATCATGGAGGGCAAAGTCTGATCCGGGACTGGGGAGATACGGTAGTGGTTCTGTTAACGATGAGAAAATAAATGGGCTGAACAGCAAACACGAAAGTACCTTGCCAGAGATGGAAAGTGATAGACTAGGAGCCTTAGAACTTTTATCAAGTCCCTCTGGTTCTACAACCGCACTCTTTTCATCCCTATACGACGAGAGCGGATTTAAGAGCAAATTTATGAAAAAAGATATTCGTAGTTTTAACAAGACTCTCCCCCACCAGGATCAGACAGCCGAGGAATCGCAATATATGGGAATGTACCTTCAGCCAAACAGACGCAACAGGCCCAATCTTCCTATTGAGGAAGCCCCGATGTCAACGTTCCTCAAAAAGTCCAGGGAAAGGTTCTTGCAGACTCAACAGTTTTTCTCTGAGCATCAAGCATTCGCCTCTTCCAAGTTTAAAGTTGCGCCTGCGTCACTTCAAAGATCTGTATGGCCCACTAGATCGTTCCCCAGCTCGATATATCAGGGAACACATGACCTGTCGTACAGCACAAACGCCCTGCCTCCATCTCTGAGAAAGTCTTACACAGCACACGGCCGCTCTTACTCACGGGAATACCCTACGTATGGAGCCGCTCGAATCAATCTATCCGTTACACCGTCTTTTAATCTGCATCAAACTCGGTCAGGACCATCCTTTCTCGCCGACAATCGCACAGACGCCGCTACAACAAACAGTTGGAGATATGGCTCCAGTACAGAAGAAATGAACCTGTACAATAAAGATATGGCCCACTGGAACTGGAACGAGAGTGCAAACAACGGCGACGAGGATTCAGGGCCCAACTATAAAGACTCTACGTGTCTGGGACAGCCTTGTAATCCAACTCAGTCGGATAAATGCCACACCCACTCTGACAGCAACTGCCATTGCCGGCATCAGTGGGAACTCAACCCATGCACGCTGACAGACAGCAGGAACAAGCAGTCCGGTGACTTTTTGGATCAGGAGAAATACAGCTCTTCGCGACCAGTGTGCCCATGCGTGGCAGCATCTGACTCTGCCTGCCCTGACACGAATGATGGACGCAGCTTACAAAACGATCTGTTCCAACAGTACGTGAAGGCCAACAAACTGGCTTTGTGTGCGGGCAGAAACATCAACGGCAGCGGGAACCTGTTGGCCACGTTGCCACACTACACACAAGTCAGTCAGAGTCTGGGTTACCCGGTGTCCGCCGATGAGTTGCAGGAAGCCCGGGACGAAGACTACGCCACGGCCAAAGAAGACACCTGCAAAATCGACACACTGACCACCAGGCTCACTTCTGCCCAATCCAGCAGCGGGCTTGAGTCGCAAGCGACTGCTGGAAGTAGGCACGAGATGGACGCCACCTGCAACCACCCTCCAACGTCGCTGAGATATATCGGAGACGGGAGTTTTGCTACGGCTGCTGATGTTTCCAGAGACGATATTCTTATGAACATGTCGCCTTGCTGTCCCCAGAGCGGCTCTCGCAGTGAGTATACCATTTATTACGTAATTTTTCTCGGCTTGTCGCATTGATGATTGGATCTTAACTAGAATATTCGATGTCCAGCATTTGAGCTTTCCCATAACATATTGTTTGTTTTCGAGTTCTTGTAAATTATACGGAACTCTACTGTACTACGGTAGAGAGGGTTCTTACAGAATTCAGTAGAACTACCCCACCAACCTACGTAAAACCTATATTGATGCAGTACACTCAATGGATGTGAGATCTGGAAAATTTAACCCAAAAAAACCCAACAAATCAGCTACCACGTTTCGTTCTTTTGCAGATTTTTCAGCTGAGCACAGCCGGACTTGCTACCCGGAGGAGCAAAAGTACCACTATGCAGACAGCTTTAGAAAGTTGCAACCAGATTGCCTCCTCCACCACCACCCTTTGGCTGTACACACGCATGGTTTGGAGGTTCGGCGTTCGTTCTGTGGTCAAGGCGACACCAACAGCAAGCGAGCCTTCACAGAATGGTATGTCGATGATCACGCTCCTGATGCGATGCCTGGGGCTGACGTCACGCGGGACCGAGACACGAGCTTTCTGTCCTCCAAACGGAAACAAAGAACAGCCTCGAGCAACTCAGAGTGTTGTCAGAGCTCTGAAGGAAGTGTTGAGTCCATGGTCAGTGTGAGCAGCGGCGGCAGCTCTGGCACCACACGTCACAACCCTGAGGCGGTCGGTGCTAGGGACAGGGAAGAAGACAAAGCCGGCAGCAAATCTAGCTCAGAATACGACTTCGATGACGATGAAGAAGGTGAGAGGTTTGAAGACGAAGAGGATGGTGGTGAGGACGATGACGATGGATGGGAGGATGAAGAAGACGATGCCGATGACGATGTCGACAGTGATACAGCATGTGGCCAACTCGTCCTGCCGAGGATTCTGGAGTCAAGGAATGCTGTCAAAGACGTCACCGATGCTGATGGGAGAAGCCTCGGTAACATATGCCCGGACGAGGAGACGCGCAACCTAACTCAAAACAAACACGAATCTACAATGGATGTGGAAGGTGCATGGCGGTACGGACTTCTCAGGGACAGCAGAAAAGGTCAACAACGCACAGGTAGCCGTCTGAAGCAGGAACAACAGTTCAGTGACCTCCCCAACCGCTCCCGTCACGACACGGCGGAGATTTCTAGCAGCAGACGTCAGCAGCAGCGCTCCAAGTCCATCAGCACCGTTTCCAAAAAGTTCTCTTTTGACCACATCAAAGTGCCCTCTATAGAAAAAGACCGAGTTCGGTTCGCCTGTAGCGAGACGGGCGAGTGGGCTGAGATAGGGCGAGGCAGCTACGGCTGTGTGTACCTCGGCCTGCTAGACGGCTCGGTAGAGGTGGCGATCAAAGACTTCTACGAGTCCAGCTCCTGGGACCTGGTCATACACGAGGCCCGGATGCTGCTCTTCTTGCAGGACACTGGAATCACGCCGTCCTTTTACGGTCTGAGACGCAGGTAAAATGTTGAAACTGTTCAAAAAAGGTCCTTTTTTATTAAATACATACACATACACACATGATACACATATACACATACACACACATACACACATACGAACACACACACACACACACACACACACACACACACACACACACATATATATATATATAATATGAACACCCACATACACACACGCGCGCACACACACACACACACACACGCACACACACACGCACACACACACGCACACAGAGAGAGAGAGAGAGAGAGAGAGAGAGAGAGAGAGAGAGAGAGAAACTCACATACACACACTTTGGGCCTCAAAATTGTAAAAGGAGGTAGCATTGTAATTCTGAAATATAGAATGTATAAAACTACAGGTATCCTCACTATTCCTTGCATAATAAAACGCCCGCAAAATATGATTTTCTAATAGAGTTGTTAAAAATTACTTAAGTTACTCGAAATATTGTAAAAAATTCATACTCTAGAATTGAGCCTTTAGAAAGAATTCTCCCTGGCTCACTCCTCCCCCACCCCCACCCTCTTTTTTTCCTCACACTCCGGACAATCTACCCCCCCCCACCCCCCACCCCCCCCCCCCCCAAAACCGGCCTCCCACTTTTCATCCAGGTTTGACGTTACGAAGGAGCCCAGCGAGTACTGTATCATCATGGAGTATTTTGGCGACGGCCGTACGCTGTTCAACGTGATGTCGGACAAGATCCCGCTCCTCCCAGAAGAGTGGCTGGACGTGGTGGGTCAGCTGGTGGCAGGACTCCGTCTCATCCACAGCAAAAACGTCCTCATTAACGACCTCAAGGCCGATAACATCCTTATCGATCTCAGCTCCGGTGAGACTTTTGGTAGCTAATTAATGTTTTACGCCAAGATCTACATGGTTTAGGATGACCTAAATCGTGTAGATATATAACATTTTACGGTTTAGGCCTTAAAGCCAACCCCATAAATGACCCAAATCGTGTAATCTACTCCTAGATCTACACGGTTCAGGGCTTTTTGGTGGTGGGCTTGTTCGATTCTAGCTCCGTGTTAGAGTACTGTCTGTCTGTCTGTCTGGCTGGCTGGCTGTCTGTCTGTCTGTCTGTCTGTCTGTCTCTCTCTCTCTCTCTCTCTCTCTCTCTCTCTCTCTCTCTCTTTCTCTCTCTCTCTCTTTCTATCTCTCTCTCTCTTTCTCATCTCTCTCTTTTCTCACCTCCTTCACCCCTCTATTTCACGCAAAATAATTATTTTACTCTTTCGGCAAAGGCACGTGTATGTTCGTATGTGTGTGTGTGTGTGTGTGTGTGTGTGTGTGTGTGTGTGTGTGTGTGTGTGTGTGTGTGTGTGTATGTGTGTGTGTGTGCGTACATGTATGTGTTTGTGTGTGTTTGTTTTGTCGGTAAGTGTTAATGTGTGTTTATGTATGTCTATTCATTAGGGACTCTAAATTAGTTTAGTAGCTATTATGCTATTAAATAAAATCATGCACCTCTGTCCTCCTACTCCCAATAAAACCAATACATTTGCAAATTTATTACATCCAGACTTCGTTCTTCAAGAAAGTTTTAATTGTTTTCCCAGGTCGAAAAACTATCAGGTATATCGATGTCGGCATGGCAACCTACAAACAGGGCCTTACCTTCCAGGTATACAATTATGCGTCGTTTTTATAATTAAGGGCTGGTGGGGCACCTAGAGATCGTGTTTTGTGTCCAGATTATGCAAATTGGGGTTATTACATATTATAGTACCTGGACATTTCCTTTACAATATTCAGAAACGTATGTAAGCCTTGCTATACCCAAAAGCTATGTTTTTTCTCAGTTGTTTTTTTCTGCGAAAGCACATGTTTTCCAGTCGTTTCTTACCTCTATCGGCTGTTTTCTCACAATTCTATTTTTTCACATATTATCCCATTTTTCTGCTCTGTTTCTTGTTTCATTTCAATTTAACTTCCACAGGATACCAAATACACCTAGTTCTAAATTTTATCTTGTTGAATTTTTGATTATTGGAGTAGTTTTTGATTTATGGGCTTAGAAAGCAGGAATTTTCCTTTTTTTCCACTTTTTTTTGCAAAAACCCAGTTGTCAGTGTCATAAAATAAAAACCAAGGCATATAAAACAAATTCAACTAGCTAAATTTAAGAGCTACGTATGTACTGTTGCCAGGCCGAATTAGAAGTGAATCAGTTAATAAAAAAGGGAACAAATTGGGATTGAAAAATGGTATACAAAATCCAATATGGCCGCCTTTTTCATTGTAACCGATTCAAAATATACTTTTTGAACTTTTGATTTCAAATCCCTAATAACGCACAATGCCCCACAGCAAATATGGACACTCTAGGCCTTGTAATAGCCAACATACACCTCAGGTGCCCCACAAGCCCTTAATGCCTACTTGGTTATAAAAGAATTGCGTTTTCAGCCACCAAGTCCATAATATTGTTATTAAAATAGTGAATTGATTTGATCCAGCATACCAGGACCAATATAGCTAAAATGAAGTAATTAAGGCAACAATATCTATTATTATACTATTTAAAGACTTTCGTGTTCATCATGACTGTCTTGGTCGTTAACAATGGCAGTTGACGTTACAAAAGTTAGACTTAAAGGAGCACTCACGCAAACGCACAACAAGACAGGACATTATGTCAAGTAAATA